TGTAGATTCGTATGTCTCCTGGTAATAAATACGGATTTTATATTAAGGAATGCCCAAAAGCATCCAGCCACATCTTTAACTGAACAACTGTTTTCAAAAACGACGGGAAAAGGAAATGGAATTATGATAATTTCTTTCGACCACATACTTTTCGAAACCCCCCACTGTAGCTTTAATTAACATATTGTACTTTCAGCCCGCTTAAATGTGGTCTTGTAAGCTCGCTTCCGCACACAGTGAAGGGTTCACGAGAGGCTCGTTAAGATTTTTGGTCTATGACTGACCTTACAATTTTTTCGCATAAGTTTGTTGCAAAGAGAAGAGCCGCAATGTCGGGCAATAATGTAATCATGGTAATCAGAATAAGCATGATCGTCGTTTGAGCACGCATTTCCAAGGGTAACACAAGACTTGGAATATCGTTGTAACAATGTACAGTTAACCTTAGTATACCTTTAAACACGTAAGTTTTGCCATTCTCTGTCTTTGTTACAGCATCTATTGTAGAATCTTGACAGAGATCTGGAGCGTCATTGGTGTCAGGATGCGAGGCAGAAGTGTGATCCTCTTCAGCATCAAGTTTTGTACTTCCCTTTCCCTCGTCAGTGCGGGTGCCTACATATCCGAAGAAAGATCAAATTGTGTTTCAAAATCTTATCTTTACCATTAACACAAAATCGAATTAATCCACACACTGAAATAAGTTAATTTGTTACTGATAAAATAATTGTAAGCGTTAAAACAATTTATAAGTCACAGTTCAGTGATGGGGAATTTCTCTATCAAAACGTAAATTTGAAGTACCACAAAGAAAAAAATACGCTTTAAATTTTATTATATATATTTATTAGTTTCTAGAAATGGTTATTTCTATGCTTCATAATTATAGATTATTATTCAGCGTGTAACGGCAGTAAAACTTTGGCATAAGAGGAGTAAAATGAAACAAATATCAAACATTCTTTACTACATTCACCAAGTTAGAGTTCCAATCATATATGGCCTGCAGTTTTTGTTTATATGTATACGTATGCCAACCAAGGCACTTTAAAAAACAAATAACAAATTTATATTTAAAACGCATCTTACATGATAATCCCATAAGGCTCGTTGGCCAGCAATATATTCTACTTGAAGTATGCAATACAGCAAAAAGAAAAATCACAAAGTGAAATATATATAGATATTGGAAATTGAATTAATGATCTAGAATACTTTCGTAAATAAATCGTTACAAAAATTATTAGACGCGGCATAGCGGCTCATAGAATGGCTCTGAGTTTTCTTTCAAGTACAAACTTTTAGCTCATAGCTCCGTAATCTTTTGACTGATTTGAAAGCTAGTTAGAGTTTTGGACCCAGGATGTCAAACCCCTTCGACTGATGTATTTAACCACGCCCAAGGCCTCGTAGATTAATTTACTCTAATCCTGCCTGAAAGAGTTTTAGTTTGAGGATAGTCTGGTAGAGATCCTGATGAGTAATAAAATCGAATCGGGTATACACGCGCCCCACGCTTGGTATTGCTGGCGAACAAAAATATGGCTAATAAAAAGAAAGGTATCATACATCAATTTACTCTAATCCTGCCTAAAAGAATTTCAACTGCCGCGGCTATTGATGATTCCCTCTTGTTTTTTTATAATTATCAAACCGGTTTTATTCAAAAGTATCCCATGATTCCAAGCACGAATAGAAAAAGAAGGAGTAGATACTGAAATGAGCAACAAGGACAGAAAGAGAAGAAAAACTGCAGTATGTTGAAGGTGCTCATTATTATTCGTTCTCACGTGCGTTTTTGACATTTGACTCAAAGTCTGAGTACACTTTAAATATAATTTCATTAATCCAACGTAATATGAACAATAAATGTTAAGCATAAAAATCACTACTTGATATTTGTATGAAGGAATATATATATATATACACTCTTGTTCTTGTGTCCTTTCTGCAAAGCACTGTAATAAGTACCTCTATCGGTGGATGGTGTCACACTAAAGTTTTATTGAAACTGTATGCTGGTGCACGTACGTTCCTCTGATTGATATGCTGCTTACCATAAAGTGCTTGAATTGCTAGCATGTCATCCTCGTCCAACTTGTAATTTGGGTCGTACCCTCGATAGAAAGGTGCCATCAGTGCCTGTTTAACATCCGAATGCGATAATCCTAAGGAATGACCAAATTCATGGGCAGCAACTTGAAATATATTTGTTCCTGTAAGATAAGTTGTATCAGCATGACTTAGCCCAGTTTGTTCCTGTAAGATAAGTTGTATCAGCATGACTTAGCCCAATTTGTTCCTGTAAGATAAGTTGTATCAGCATGACTTAGCCCAGTTTGTTCCTGTAAGATAAATTGTATCAGCATGACTTAGCCCAATTTGTTCCTGTAAGATAAATTGTATCAGCATAACTTAGCCCAATTTGTTCCTGTAAGATAAGTTGTATCAGCATAACTTAGCCCAGTTTGTTCCTGTAAGATAAGTTGTATCAGCATGACTTAGTCCAGTTTGTTCCTGTAAGATAAGTTGTATCAGCATGACTTAGCCCAGTTTGTTCCTGTAAAATAAATTGTATCAGCATGACTTAGCCCAATTTGTTCCTGTAAGATAAATTGTATCAGCATAACTTGCTTAAACAAATAAAATCTCTAAACCATTACTAACTTTTAAACCTTACTTCAAAATTTTTAATTTATAATAACTTATAGGTTTTCTCTACTGCTACAGTCAGCAGATTTTCTGAATCAACAATCAACAAATACAGTAAAGAAATTGTACTTTATACTTCTGATGTACTTTCAAGAAACAATTGAAAGTTACTTCCGTTGAAATAATTCTGATCTCAATAAATTATCTAAGTGAATTTTGTAAAGTACTACAACCTATTAATTTCACAAAAGTGTATTACCGAAGAGCAGTAATGTATACTACATACCAAAATAAGAGCCTATGGACCACTTTTCTTCATCATCAAAGTGTGCATCTCCACCATACTGGGGAAAGAAAGCATGAGCCAAGGTTTTCCCAGGCCCATCAAAAGGATCACCATCACCATGTTCACCCATTTCAAACATTACATCGATATGGACCCGCCCGCTCTTTTTAGGTAGGAAGTTTAAAGATGTGGCGTCACTCCAAATCTATACGAACATGCAGAATGTTGTGTAGAACTGTAACTATTTCGACTTTGTATTTACGCAGACATTTTGATGTGTTTAAAATACTTAGAGCAATATAGAAATTACAGGTTTCTTGAATTGAAAGTCGTAATAGAGGAAAACGTAATAGACTACGTATCTTACACTTTTATTAACATGAAAATAACTACAATTAGTATAATGCTTTTCAGTTAGTGACGACATTTTACTATATTTATGATAATGCTTTTCAGTTAGGGACGACATTTTATTATATTTACGATAATGCTTTTCAATTATTGACGACAATTTACTATATTTACGATAATGCTTTTCAATTAGTAACGAAATGTAATGATTTTCAGCAGTAACAGCTTTGGTAAATATTGAGAAGTATAATTGTAAGGAACGTGTAAAATTAACTATGCAAATCGTTAGCATATCTTACGTACTTACACACAACAAATATTAAAACCAAAATTCAGCAAGCAAGTTTCTGTACACCTATTCAACTTAATAAATTTCAGGATTTTATATTTTTGAAATAAAAACTATCCATACACCCAATAAATTATCTAGTTAATACAGATTCGAGAAAAAGTCAAAATTTTCGTGAACTTCAACATGTTTAAAGTTTGAAAAACAACATAAATAATACGATATTATTTCTTCGATCAATGCTCGTTTTCTGTATTGATATGCTTAAAGAAGAGAAGGCTGTCTCTTATATAGAATATAAAGTTTTGGCTTTTATAACTTTAAATTTTAGTGATAAAAAAACAGAAATATTTAGTTGTAAGTTAAGTGATGAGTTTATAAAGTTTCGGAATAAAATGATGTTTACCTTGAAAGCATTTTCGATTTCCTTGTCCACTTTTAAATGATCCTTAATTCGGCTGGGATATTTACTGATGCGGTAGGTTAAGTTAGAGACCCTCCATTTGCTGCCTAGAAAGTTTACATGTTAAGTTATTGAATATATATATATATATAGATACACTCGAAAGAACCAAAGTTTATAGGTAGTTGTCAGTCGAGAAAGGGGAAACTCTTTTAATACATTAAAAACTTGGGAAAGCAAGTTAACCTTAATGCAGTTGGCTTGGTTTACATACCTGTCACATAGCTTTAATGAATAAAAGTTAAGTTCATCAGACCGTTTTTTTAATCGTCTTAAACCTCGTATGAAAAGGTATGATTGAAATGAATCTAATCGGTTGTACCTTCCTTTCTGTACATATGGAATTAACGGTTTGATTTGAAAGACTTGTATAATTTTGTCTAGAATTTGAAATTAAATTTGCCTTTGATTGTCATGCGAATATCAAGATCTCAAAGGTCAGTGACTTTCATTATATTATATGTGATTCGAAGATTTTTCTTAAAACAAACAGTGATTCCGAAAGTTCCATATTTGTCTTAGTGTAAAGAATTGTACGTAAATTTGGGTAGATATATCAAGTTAAAATCAGTGCGTTTGTCTGTACATGCGGACGAGTTTTGCATCATCTGATAGTCTTATCGGTTTATAAACTAGTTGTTTTGCATCATCTGATAGTCTTATCGGTTTATAAGTTAGTTGTTTTGAATCATCTGATAGCCTTATCAGTTTATAAACTAGTTGTTTTGCATCATCTGATAGTCTTATCGGTTTATAAGTTAGTTGTTTTGCATCATCTGATAGTCTTATCGGTTTATAAACTAGTTGTTTTGCATCATCTGATAGTCTTACCGGTTTATAAATTATTTGTTTTGAAAACGTTGCTAATTATTTCCCAACGTCTTTATTTTACTGTGAACATTTGGTCAGATGTAACACTAGTCAGTTCTGTTCTATCCATTAGAGGTAGAGGTGGGCTCAGGTAAAAACAGCTGAGTTGTCTTTTCGTGTAAATTTCCATCCCAGTACTTGAGTTGTGTATTTAGTCCTGACAACGTAGATGTTGAATTCACAAGTCAAGCAACACAATGTTATGGCAAGCGTGTTTCATAGTTTATTTAAATCAGCAGATGTTTGCATTATGAGTATTACTCATGAAACAAGCTTAGTTCAAATAATTACAACCATACCTAATATACACAGACAGTGTACGTCCGAATGGTTTTTACACGCCTTTCTGACGACTGTTCGTTGCTTGGTTGACTTTATATTATTGTAATATATCTATATAAATAAAGTAGTACTGTTTGTTGTATGTCCATGTAACTACTTCGCCCCTTGTGGTTTCACATTTTGTGTTTTGTAGTTTTTATGGGCGATTTTACGTTTTTTACAATTACATATGAGAGAAGCAACTTTTCATATCCTAAGATAACTTTTCATTAATTATGAATTTACATAACTTCCATACAGGGGATGGGTAATCAAGCTAGTAAACTAATAGATATTCAATTATATATACCTTGGATTAGCATACTAACTATAAATGTTTGTGTCACTCGAGAAAATGTAGGTAAATATTTGAAATAATCTATGTCTTTTATACGATAGAGGGTATAGACAATCAACATTGTTACTAATATAGACAATCAACATTGTTACTACCTCTATCATATAGACAATCAACATTGTTACCACCTCTATCATATAGACAATCAACATTGTTACCACCTCTATCATATAGACAATCAACATTGTTACTACCTCTATCATATAGACAATCAACATTGTTACTACCTCTATCACAATCAACATTGTTACTACCTCTATCTCTATATGATAGAGGTAGTAACAATGTTGATTGTCTATACGATAGAGGAAGTAACAATGTTGATTGTCTATATGATAGAGGTAGTAACAATGTTGATTGTCTATACGATAGAGGTAGTAACAATGTTGATTGTCTATACGATATTTTTTCCTTAAGTTTTGCTTCTTTTCTCATTAATTGTGATAAATAGTAAATTGCTCACGCGATACATGGGTGAATAAAGATATTATATTGAAACTAACTAAAATCAGTTATGTGGAAAACAGCAAGATTCAGTATAGATATAAATAATATACACAACTAAAAGATTACGGAGACCACTAGTCCAACTTTAGAAATGTTGTGTGAAGGTAAATCCTATCTGCTGAGACAAAACGACACTTGAAATATGGTGTTATAGACTAACAATAAAGATTAGGTAACTAGACAGAAAAACTAATGAGAAGTATTGTAACGTGGAAAGAGAAAAAGTAAACGCATATAACTAGATCTGGCAACATTTTAATCGGTAAAATTGAAGGAAGAAATGTAAAAGGCAGTCAGAGGGTCACTTGGCAATATAGCATTGGAAAATCGATTGGAGATGAAAAACTTGAATTAGAAAAGATAGTTCTGGCAACTAGGAATAGAAAACAATGGAGAACCATAGTTTTCGACTTTCAGAATGTAGAAGAACAATATGGTTGATTGATACATCAATAACATCATATAGGGCATTATCCATTTAACTTTCTATAACTTTATCTTATACAAAGAGCAACTTCATAGACTGAAAACCTGGAATATGAAGACTGAACTAACGAACCTGAAATTATGCTGTACTTACCTTGTAAGGCGTAACGTTTTCTTCTGGCCGAGTTGCTGTGGCCAACTTTATCTTTCACTCCACAACGTGGCATTTCCATCATTGTTATCGTCTCATTATCTATCACTCCTAATAATAAGAATAACGTGTTTGTAATTAAATAATAAAACAACAAGCAAGTATTTTACTTACAAGAAAAAAAAACTGTCTCCACCTATATATACTTTCATCGTGATTGTCAAAAGCATAAGTCGATAAATCTCAACTCACGTTTCCAAAATATCAAAACCTGGTTCCAGTAGATATTAAAAATTTCCTATTTTATTCCCGTTATTTACGGTATAATAACTGAGGCTTATAGCAAACTACGCAACCAACAACCGCATCTTCATTAGTGACCTTTTCATGTGCAGTTGTTGAGGATGTTTAAGGCAGTGTTGTTTCATATTCTTCGTTAGGTTTCTCTAAGTTGGGGTTTGAGTTTAGATAGATTCGTATGAAAGTTTCATACACTGAATTAATACGAAAACGAAATAGAAACTATGTGGATAAAAAACCCTTTCCTGGATCATGCGTCAGGTTCCATTGTTGATTTTCCCAGTCTTTTCATGTATATACGGTTATGCAAGCTTGACGAAACACTGATGAAGGATATTTAACTTTATAATAACATTCTTGTGTGACGTTACTGGTTTCTTTGCGGTTTCAGTTAACAGATAACAAATTCTGCTCCACACAGTTGTGTTTTATATCAAAGCTACACCACACCAGAAGTGATAAATATTTTTGTTTTTATTTTGTACGTCAGTTGATCATGAATGAGGACTGGTGATTCTTCTAAAAACATTTTTTTAACTAATTAAATCTGGTTCCCCATTTCCCGTTAACAGTATAAAGCGCAGGATACGTGTAGTACGGGTGAGCGATAAACGATGTATACAGTACTCTTAGAATTCTTTTCGTGTGAATTAGTTTCTGTTCGTGTAATTTTATGGTCATATAGATCTATACTTTATTAAGACAACAAACGTTGGATTGTAAAGTAAAAATTTTGAACAGTGTATTTTGGTTTAATTTGCAAACTTTGTGAATAGTATTTGTACGTATTATAGAGTATGCTGAATCAGACGCAGCACCCAGTTTATCCAACTCCCCCAATTTCATTGAAGGGGCGATATAAAAAATAATTTCCACAGGCCGTTTTTAATACCCAATTCCAACAATGTTTCTTTTTTTTTGGTTATTCCAGCTTCTATTGTATGGTGAAGTAACAGGACAAAAATTAAACCTGCCTTTATCTATTCTAAATTGGGTTTTAAATCAATCACAATATTTTGGAAGAAAACAGCCTTTACGGCTGTCTTTTACATTTTCTACATTACAGATGGTCCAAACTCCCATTACATACAGGAATACGAGCATAAATGGTTCCAGAAAAGCAATAACTAATAGTTCTACCATTTCTATCTCTACCTTTCCCTTTAATGGCATTTAATTGAATTTTTACTTTTGAATTCGAATTTTTTTTTGTTGCACTGGAAAAATTGGTCTGCAACCCCCGAATCTGCTACTGCAGTGTCTACGTAAGCCGTCACTTTCACCTGATCAACGTAGGTATGCACAGCACAATATCATAATAATAATATTATTATTATCTACCATGTATTCTGCTGGTTAATAATATGGTAAATTGTCCAAAACATTTCTGGTTCCGCTACTCGATGCTCGCACCACTATTACTTCTCTCCATCACTGTTTGTTGACTAACACTGTTACTTACAGCACAACACTAATATGAAGCATCATTCTCTATTTCACAACATCGATATACAACTGAAATACTATTTCTTACTTCACTATGTCATTAGACACTGGCTAACTCTGTTAACTATTAAACAGCGTTCTCTACTGACAACTATTATCATATATACCACAACACTGTGATCTACTGCACATCATTCTCAACACAATACCATATAGCACCACTTTCAACTTAACAGCATCAATATACTACACCACACTATTACTTACTTCATAGCACCATTAAACACTACACCATACTATTACGTACTTCATAGCACCATTAAACACTACACCACACTATTACTTACTTCATAGCACCATTAACCACTACACCACACTATTATTACTTCATAGCACCTATTAAACACAACACCACACTATTACTTACTTCATAGGCACCATTAAACACTACACCACACTATTACTTATTTCATAGCACCATTAAACACTAGACCATACTATTACGTACTTCATAGGCAC